AATCTTACATTTAACCGTAACAATAGCCACTTCGTAAATTCTTAGTATTCACAGACTGCAGTGTAACTTTTCCAAACTTAAACACTCACCTGATTGTTCGCGCCAGCAGTGTTGTTGGAAAACGATGCCATCGTTCCCTGAGGCACAACAGCAGCACCCACGCACGCTACTTTGAGAGCATGGGAAATGACCACTTCTCACGTAGTGGTTGGGAAAACTTCTCATAATTGACCAGTCACAGCGTAATTTGTACACATTACTGATTGAAAGAGCTTTAGTAACTGAGTTTAAGCAATTATGCACGGCATGTCATCTAACCATTATCAAGTAATACAGTGCAGGTGTTTGATAAATTATGTTTATTCCCAGGTTTCCTGAAGGCAACATGAAAAATGGACCGTCTTCAGCCTCCAGCGGCCTGCTGTCACTCATGATTCCCCGCCCCTCTCTGTGTAGCCACGCCCACCAGGCCAAAACAGGGCCAAAGGTCTGTAACTGAAAAATACAGATCCGAAAGTGAAAAAAAAATCTGAAGCTGAAAGAAAAATCTGAACCTGAAGAAATTTTTTTGTACATTAATTAAAAAGATCTGAATGTGAAAAAATGTAATCTGAGACTGAATGGATTTAAAAAAAATAATAATTTAAAAAAATTACTGAAAATTCTTTAGTAAAGTTTACTCAGAAAAATTCTAAATAAAAATACCATTGGGGTTTCAGTTCTTACAAATATTCCAAACGTTTGATTTTATTTAAAATCCAAGTCTTTCTTTTTCAAAGTTCAGTCTAAAAATGTGACTTTTGCTTTCAGTTTACATATTTTCGATTTCAAATTTTTCTTTTAACTACACAAACATTATGGCCCTTATTTAAGCCCATAGGACACATGGAACCATCTTTCTTTGAAACAAAGAAGAAACCAGCGCCCAAGGGAGACGTGGAGGGACGAATTAGACCTGATGCTAATGACTCAAGAGATGTAAGTGGTCATGCATTCGTGTTCAGTTTTGGTTAGACTGTACAACCTGCTGGATGGGAATGTGGCACCTGGGAGCAGATCGATACAGCATTCGTACGGACGATGAGGAGGCAAGGATGCAGCTCGATCCTTGCTGAAAACTGATTACAGGTCGTGGTATTCGGGTGGCACCGAAGAAAGATCCGGAATGGGTGGAGAACTGGTAGCAGGAACCTGGACAGGAAGGCTAGCGGACAACAAGCAGTGGGACGAGCAGTACGGACTCCAAACAGCTACCTGACCAGACCTCCAATCGATGTGGGAGTTGTGCGTTATAAGCCATTCGTGACCCAAACGACTGGGAACTGAGGAGAGGGAAAAACAAAAAACGAAATGACCTCTTGATGGTTACCGGATACTTGCAATTTCACAGGTCCAGTTCGGTGGGTGATGGTTAGTGCGTTACCATCCAATGACAAAACCTGAACTGGAGTGAGGAGAGGTGTAGTGGGAATTCTCAGTCAAGTGACCACAGACTGATCTAGGAGGTTCCTCTCACAACCAGAGTCAAGCAGGGCCTTAGTGGAAAAATGCAACTGGTTAAAAAACAGAGCAGGTTAATATGCACCGGGAGGTCTCTTTGTTGGCATTGCTACCCACCAGAACTCCCGGACTTACTGGTGGGCTCTTTGTTTTGGGCGTTTTGGACAGTTAGGCAGAAAATGACCAGATTGACCACAGTACAAACATAGTTGGGAGGAGATACGGCGTTGTCTTTCCTCTGAGGTCAGACTGGCTCGACCTAACTGCATGGGAACATCAGGAGGAACTGGAGCAGCGGCAACTGCTGGTGGCAGAGCTGGAGGAGGAGTGAAACGAGCGGTTTGGTAGGAATGGGAATTGGGCAGAGCGAACCAGGGACGGGTCTTGAGTCTCTTTTCTATGCGAATGGCTAATGTTATTAGATCTTCCAGAGTTCCAGGTTCAGGACACAGAGCTAGTTGGTCTTGGATCTTATCCCTGAGGGCCTGAGCAAAAGCTCCCTTTAATGACTCCTCGTCCATACTAGAGGTTATTGCCAAAGTTCTAAAATCAACTGCAAAGTCCGAAACTGTTTGTCTTGTTTCATGTTCCAAATGATTCTGGCTATCTCTGAGGGTGTTTCTGTCCGACCAAAAGTCCTATTAAAATCTACAAGGAAATTGTCTAGGGTTCCTCTAAGGAAACCAGGCTCCCGACTCTTAGCCCCTGCCCATTGTAAGGCACGGCCTCAGAGCAGACCAACAATGTAAGAGATCTTAGCAGGGTCACTGATAAATGATTCTGGAGTTCTTTCAAAAGCTAACATGCATTGAAGGAGAAAGCATCGTATTTTACCGGACTCACCGGAGAAGGTATCTGGAGGAGGCGAGTCTGCGACCCGGAAGTGCCACTGTGTTGACGGACCAGGCTGAACCGGAGGTAATTGAGGTGGTGGTTGAGAAACCGAAGCAGCCGGAGCAGACAGTTAATCATTTAGTTCCTTTAGCCTGGCATCTAACTGAAACAAACATTGGTTAGTGCCGGCTTGATATTCGAGGAGAGTTTGAATGGAATGGTCATTCTGGGCAAGAGCTGTGGATATGACGGACAGAAGTGATTCAACAGTGGGGTCAGGAGTTTGGCCAGATGATTCTGTCATGTTTGAGGGCAATTTCTTAACCCACGACATGAAGAATCACCACAAAGAGTTGGAAGGTAAAAAATAATCTATTTTGTATGTTGCGGTTGTAGTAGCTTCCGATGGACAGGGAAGGATCCGTGGGGTCTGAGAGAGGAAGAGAGGTCAGAGTCTGGAACAACGTGAGATGATGATTATGAGAAAAGTTAAAGGCTTACGGTTTCCTGGATGATCCGGGTCTTTCTGGGAGGGTTTGCCAGACCTGGCTGAACTGGGAGACCGAGGAGCTGCAGGTGTACCGGTGAGTGGCGGAGAGCTGGCGGTCAGGGACAAACGGCAGAACTGGGATGTTGGTGATGGTTCCAGTGAAAGTGCAGAAACGAATATGAGAAGATGACTGGAACCTGGAGGAATCAGGAGGGCAGAGCAAGTTACTGCCTGAAGGGCAGGAGCGGGCAGACAAACAAATTCTAGTTTCTTTTATAAAGATCAGGACGAAGGCTCGAAACTACCCAAGACTGAGTATCATCTGGCACTGGTGAGGTGTCCTGCTGCTCCTTAAATCCCCTGACCGCTGATGAGCTGATTTGGTACAGCTGAGCTCTCCAGATACACCCACCTTTAAACAAACACTCAAACAGAGATGGTAGTTCAGCACAGATCATGACAGTACATGGAGGTTTTGTTTTCCTGGAAGTAGCAGTAGTAGTATAATAGTATAGTAATAGTATTAGCAGAAAAACTGGACAACAAAAACTGGAACGTGTTTAGTGGAAAATATTTAGTGCAGAGAAACTTACTGCATTTGTGATGGAAAAACGATGTAGGCACATCTTGCTCCTCATCAACAAACTTGAGGGAAATTTCCTCTTTCTAGAAGATTTCTTTCATTATTTAGAAAAACGAATCTAACAAAATAATAACAAGCCTCTGAAAAACACAGCTGAAAAAAAAAAAACGAACTACGGGTGGTAAAACGAAAACAAACACGGCAAAGCAATGTTAAAAATGACTCAGTATATCCTAAAATTACTATATACAAACATAAAGTAAGATATTTACCGAAAATATTTATTATTTATATCAGTAGAAGGGACAGAAGTTGAAAACATGCGTCGAAAACAATTCCTCTGCTCCTCGAGGAAGTGTGATCATTTCCTGGTTCTTGGGCAGGGACTTGCGTAACATTACTGTAATGTGTCATATACCACTGGAAAGCGTAGAGGCTGAGCTTTCAGAATCCGTTGGAATTACGTTGATTGCATAAACGGTTGAAGAGTTACGGTAGTTCAAAGTATGGATGCCGTTTTGTGTCGGCGCCAACACAACTGCAGTAGAAGCGTTAATTCAGTTTCCAGCTGAACCCCGATTCGGCCAATCAGGAAAGAAGCATTTTTGAATCCATCTTCTCCTTTGACCTCCTGTCCAAGCCTCTCTGCAACCCTGCAGCTGATACCAGACAACCGGCTCTTCTAAGAGCCAATCAAACATCAGCCTTAGACGCAAATAAGCATTCCAGCTTTCAGCCTTCACCTGGAGGTATCTCAGACTGGAGGGGTCCTATCGGAACTATCTACGGGTTCCTGAAATCAGAGTTCACTCCACCGGCAGTGACCATCGACCCCCCCGGATCGAACGAGAACCTCCACACCAAGGGTGTGTAGACTTGGCATGACAGATTGCGTCTGATGATGTTTTTAATAAACAACTCTCTAGTTTAGAACCAAACAACTAATTCTTTTGCACTCAGAGTTCAAAATTTCTCTCAGATATAAAGAACGGTTGCTACAACATCTAGCTTCCATCACAACCCCTCACATCCACCACACCACATATCTTGCCATGGATAAATTATTTGTTTAGGAAAAAGAATTAAATTCATTTTATGAACTATATACTGACTCTGTCTGAATTAATACGAAGTGTGTTTATGGTCCCTGAAGAAGCAAAGAACCCTAGAATCTTCTGATTAAACATTCAAAGATCAATCAGATTGATATTTCATACTTATATGGGAAATCACATCTTATTGGTCATAATTAATATGTAATCATTTCTACAATAACAATGGGAGAAAATTAATAGCTTTTAATGATTTTATGGTATGATTTATATGATTACATTGTGAATAATGTGTTAAACCCCGATTTGAAGAAAATTGTGAATCAAATCGAAATTGCTATTTCTCCTAGAAAAATCGTAGTTCAGTCTTTTCCTAAAATCGTTCAGCCTTAGGGTGTGTGTGTGTGTGTGTGTGTGTGTGTGTGTGTGTGTGTGTGTGTGTGTGTGTGTGTGTGTGTGTGTGTGTGTGTGTGTGTGTGTGTGTGTGTGTGTGTGTGTGTGTGTGTGTGTGTGTGTCTGCTCTGTCTTCTCCATCCCCAGTGAGTCGTGGAGGATGGCTGCTTATACTGAGCCAGGATTCTCTGGAGGTTTCTTCCTGTTAAAAGGGAGTTTTCCTCTCCACTGTCGCTGCAAGCTTGCTTGCTTAGTATGAGAATTGCTGTATAGTCACTGACACTAGTCAGTGACTCGATGCGACCTGCTGGGTTCCTTATATAGGAAACATTTTACTGATTGGCTTACTGAAATGACCTGTATTGGAATGTTTATTATGTGAAGTGCCTTGAGACGACTCTTGTCGTGATTTGGCGCTATATAAATAAACAGAATTGAATTGATGTGTAAACTTCATTTATCATGTTACCAGAAAGGGAAAGATCCCCCTTTTGTCCTGCAGCTTGCCTTTGATGTATTGTATTTAGAATAGTATAAAAGTTGCAACATTTCTTTGTAGCTAAATGGAGTTTTTACAGAGGCTTCCCTTCTCACTCACAGCTAGCAGAAGAGGAAGAGGTTTGACAAGGAAATGCGCCTCTTGCACAGTAATATGTAATTTCCTGGTTGCTCCCTTCATGTTTGGAGGCAAGAGGCAATTGGTTTGAACACTGTTGTTGGTCAGGAGTGAGTCTGGTTCATTAAAATCCAAAACTCCTCTCAGACTCATACAGTGAGAGATGGACTGGCACCTAAATCAGCGCCAGTTGGTAAGGTGTTTTATTTATTTATTTTAGCTCTATTAGAAAGGCGAGCTTTATTCTTTTTCAGATTGGTTCTTGGTAAATGGGTAGCCCCATCATGCATGCTAGATCACTGTGAAGATGCAGAAATTACTTACCAGCTGGTTTATGGAGAAACACCTAACGATTTGTTGCGCTGTGTGTTGTGGTCCGTGTGTTATTTGTGTATAGTTAGTAATTCTGTCTGAAACCACTCACATCTTCCTTCTCACCAACTTTATTTATTTATTTTTGTGACAAACGTGTGCCTCAGTATTCAGGCAGTTTTCGTCTGTCCGAGAACATGTCTATGGATTGATGTCTCTGAATCATTGTGACCCATTAAACATCTCCTAGCTTTTCCTCAGATGTAGAGAAGAGTGTAATAAGTGAAAGTTCAAAATTGTCTTGCGACCAGAGTTGTTTGAGATCAAGAAGCTATGTGAAGGGAAGACTGACAGGATATGTTGCACTGCAGAGACTGATTGAAGCCTCGATAACAATCACATATAAACATCCTTCCTTCACATGGCCCTAAAAGGACCAGTAATACAGAAGGTCATGTATCTTTAAGACAATGTGGTGTCTGCCTTGATGACTAGTTACTGGTGCTCTGCAGATCAGGTCCCAAAACACAAAATGCATTTCTCTTTTGTAAAAAAGGAAAGATGCGTTCCGGTCTTTTCATTGCATTTCATTACAACATTCTGCCTAAAGAGTCAAACCTAAACTCAACTTTTAAATGCACAACTCTGATGATTAAACATACAATCTTTGGCTAGAAAATGTACAATATACTCATTTGGATCATTTGCCTAAAGGTGTGGCGGGAAAATTCTGTAGCCTCATATTTTTTTTCTTCCTGCAGAAAGATGTAAAGTACCTGCAGCAGTGGCTTGAGTCATTTGTGGCACCATTTGAGAGGTTCATTGATGTGCAATCCCTGGAACCTTGGAGGTAGACACTAACCGTGATATATTTTGTGCCAGCTGCAGAGTTGGTGATTTGCATTCACCAAAGCCTGTGGGTTACTTCCCTGGATTCACTCCACCCCCCCCTCTTCTCTTGTCTTCCTTCCAGGCTGGAAGAAGGCAGCTTTGAGGTGCCTCTCCTCCCTAGGGAGGTCCTAGTGTCCTTCAGCACTCAGCTGAGGCACAGTTCTCTCCACCTCTCCACCTCCACAGAGAACAAAAGCAACATCCCACACCCGCTTCTCCTCATCAAGTTCTTCATTATTGTCTGCAGGTGAGCTCACACAGAACCATGCAAACATGATTGAGACACAAAGATTTGTGTAAGTGCGTTTCATTAGAAAAGTTCTGAACATTTAAAATCTCACCTACTGTTGAATGAACTCCATTTGGAGAAAAGGAATTTGATTCTGCACAAACTGATCCAAAGATCCAGAGTGGAATGCTGCCAACAACTCCATATTCATTTTTATCATAACGAGCAGCAAACGTCTGCAGTTCTAAATTACAGTGATCCCTCGTTTATCGCCGTAGATGCGTTCCAGACCTGGCCGCGATAGGTGAAAATCCGCGAAGTAGGGACACCATATATACAGTACAGTACTATATTGAATTATCGTATGATCACATTCTCTTTTTGTAGGTAAAACTCAAGAAAAATTTTTTTACTTGTTTTTTTTAATAGTTTTATTACAAAAAGTGCATTTTATGATGAAATGGATAAAAAAAAAACAGGAATTTCTTGATATTTCGCATAGAAAAATGCTGCGAATCGGTGAAAAATACCACAAATCGGTGAATTTCCCTTAAATAAGGCTCCAAAGAAAAAATCTGCGAAGTCGTGATTCCGCGATAAACGAACCGCGAAGTAGTGAGGGATCACTGTATAGGGATAAAACAATATTCAGACAGGTATTAGAGAGAAAAACCAATATTTTTAACCTGGCATGCCATTCTATATATGTCACTATATAGTCTGGCCACGACACATAGACAGAGCTTGTCACATTTCGGGGATGTTTAGGACCCAAATATGCAGCAACCCAGAATGACACGAGGCAGGAGTTGAATATAAAGAAAAAATCCTTTTATTTGTAGGACAAAACAAAAATAAGTCCAAGGGGCAGGAAGCCAAAAGCCAAAAACTCCAGATAAAGATCTGGAGATCCAAAAACACTAGAAATTACAAAAGCTAGACGAGACTGACAGAATAATATCACAATGGACCGGCACAAGACAAAGACAAGACAGGGCTTAAATAACAGGGAGGAGTAATTAAGGGAACAGGAAGCAGGTGTGTGGAGTGAGGACTGGAGGGAAGGCAGGTGACAATAATTACCTAAATGGGGAAACAGAACCAAAGGAGGACAGATAAACCTAAAACTACAAATCCAAACTAAAAGGCTGCAGGAAGGACTAACACACACACACACAGACATAAATAACTCACACACACCTATACTGGGCTGGGGAACAAGAGGCTGGAGCTGCAACTGGAGGGACAGAGGATAACTAAATGAACACCGGACCTGAGGGAATGATAAAAAGACCTACAAACAGAAGACACAATATTGAGACACAGACAAAGGACACATGAGGGCGCTATGAGACACAGAAGGGAAACTAGAGAAGATGGAGAAACATCAGGAGACACATGAAGGAGGGGGCAGACGCAGACCATGACAGAGCTCATTTGTGGTGCGGAATCTAGTCTTTCAGACAGTCTCTGCATCAGAAACAACATACTCATTGCCACAGATGTCAGTCAATGGGGCTGTCCTCCATACACTGTCAAAGAAGATGCAAATACATCTTTTTCTAAATAAAGGATTTAAGTACCTTGCAGAAAAATTGAGCGTTTTTGGAAGAAAACCCATCTCCACATCCATCTGCTGCACCTAAAGGACGTTCTGACATCCTTTAACTCTGCAGTCAGAGACGCAAGGGTTTCCTATTTCTCCAACCTGGTGTCCCAGAGCAAAGGGAACCCCAAGGTGCTGTTTAACACCATCAGCAGCATCGTGTCTCCTGCCTCTCCTACAGCCTCCATCCACTCTGTTGCAGACTGTGAGAACTTTCTGTCTTTCTTTGTGGACAAAGTCAATAAGGTTAGATCTAGCATCTCTCCTTCAGCCTTATCGCCGCCTCTCCCGACTCCAACCAGGCCCATCATCCTAGACAGCTTTGCTCCTGTTTCTTTGCCTGAGTTAACCAAACTAGTTAACTCTATGAAGACCTCTGCATGCCCCCTCGACATCTTACCCTCATCTTTGTTTAAAAGTGCTTTTCAGTCCATCGGTCCCAGCGTGCTCTCTATAATTAATGCTTCTCTGGTTTCTGGTCAGGTCCTTGCTTACTTTAAGAACGCTGTAATCCACCCACTTCTTAAAAAACCAAGTCTCGACCCCTCTCTCCATAGCATCTTCCGACCCATCTCCAAACTTCCGTTCATCTCCAAGATCTTGGACAAGTTTGTGGCTAAACAACTCACAGCTGCTCTTGATGAACATAACATCTATGATAGCTTCCAGTCAGGTTTTCGTAGAGCTCATTCTACTGAAACAGCTCTTCTTAGGGTCTCTAATGTTCTTCTGACTCACAGTGATGCAGGGGACTGTTCTGTTCTGGTCCTGCTGGACCTGACTGCAGCCTTTGACACTGTTGACCATCACCTGCTACTGGAGAGGCTGAGAGACTGGGTAGGCCTATCAGGATCTGCTCTGGAGTGGTTCTCTTCGTATCTTTCTGAGCGCTCCTTTTCTGTGGCCTCTACTCTGCCTCCTCTATCTGCTTCCTCTTCAGCGCATCCTGAGCTCCTTCACAGGAATTTCCTACCATCTTTATGCAGATGACATCCAACTGTACATCTCCTTTAAGCCCCATGAGATGTCTAAGCTGCAGCTGTTACACACCTGCTTAGACTCTATCAAAACCTGGAGGGCTGGGAGCTTTCTACAGCTGAATCAAGATAAGACTGAGATCCTCATCTGTGCCCCAGACAAGCTGGTTCCCAAAGTCAGAGACTCTCTTGGTCAGCTTGCTTCTCACACCAAACCTTCTGTCAGGAATCTTGGCGTGACCTTTGACCCAGCTCTCACCCTCAGTTCTCTTGTTCGCTCTTCCTTCTTCCATCTCAGGAACATTGCTAAGCTGAGTCCCATTCTGTCCCGCTCTGAACTTGAGACAGTTCTCCACACCTTCATCTCCTCACGCTTAGACTACTGTAACTCTCTTTTCACGTGTCTGAGCAGAACCTTCCTGAACCATCTACAGGTGGTTCAGAATGCCTGTGCTCGGCTTCTGACCAAGTCCTCCAAACACACCCACATCACCCCGCTTCTCCTCCAGCTTCACTGGCTGCCAGTCAACTTCAGGGTTCATTTCAAGATCCTGGTTCTGGTCTATAGGGCCTTACATGGACAAGCACCATCTTACACTGGGGATCTTCTCAGTCCCTACACCCCCAGCAGGTCCCTGAGGTCCAGTGATCAAAGCCTACTGGTTGTGCAGCACCAGGCTAAAGGTCAAAGGTCACAGATCATTTGCTGCTGTGGCCCCAGACTCTGGAACTCTCTCCCCCTGAGTCTGAGATCAGTGGATTCAGTGGTCTCCTTCAAAAAGCAGCTGAAGACTCACCTGTTCAAGCTTGCTTTTGTATGACCTTCTTCACCACTCTCTCTTTATTCTGCTCTCCCAACCTATTCCACCTTCCTCAGGATCCACTGATTTCCCTCTTTCCTATTCACTCTCTCTCTTTCTAACATTTTTTTCTTTTAAATCGCAATTGCGATAATTATTTTTGCTCATTTTAAATATATTTTTAAACTTTTTCTAAATGCTTTTTTATTTTTAAAATTTTTTATATTTTTTGTTTTTGTGAAGCGCCTTGTGATTTTTATCTTGAGAGGAGCTATAGAAATAATATTTTCTTCTTATTATTCTTCTACCTCTATCTGCTCTTGACTAAAAAATCCCAAGTCTTCATAGTCCAAAGTTGATGGCAAAGCCAATTCAAACAAGCTGCTGCCATTATGCTTTGTCGCAGCAACGTCCCGCCCTTCAAACTGATAGAGCACTGTAATTGGCCCACCAAATCATTACAGCGCTGTGATTGGTAAGACACAAGACCGTTCGAGTCTGCTGAGGTTCCAGTGGAACATGACTTGACCGACCTGCAGTGCAAAATCCTCTGGGGGCAGCAGTAGCTCAGGAGTTGGAGCGGGATGTCCAGTAATCGGAAGGTTGCAGGTTTGATCCCGGGGCAACTGTGGCTACATAGTAGCTCATCCCTACCAGCGTGTGAATGGATGACTGATTGTGTTGTAAAGCACTTTGGGGGTAGTAGAACCCTAAGAAGGCACATACAAATACAGGCCATTTGCTTCTGCTTTGGTCTGTATAGATTGCTAGGGTGTCCACTTTACATTGAATTAATTCATTTTAAAAATCCTTCATGATTATCTCAAATAAGTATACAATAACACTTTAACCCTCCCGCTGTCTTTATGGGTGACCCCGTGAGGAAAGTTGACCATTTAGCAGGGTTGATGGTTTATCCCTTGGGTCCACGTGGCAGGGGTGAGGAGTGAGCACCACCTCACCCCTGCCACGTGGACCCAAGGTCTAAACCATCCACCCTGCTCAATGGTCAACTTTCCTCGCGGGGTCACTCGTAAAGACAGTGGGAGGGTTAATCTTGAAACAAATATTTGATTGTAAGTATTGAAAGGGTTGATTTTAATTTTTAAGGCTGTACCATTCTAAAATGTTGGTGTATCACAGTGGATATGAAACAGAATTATGAAATTAGCTTCTGTTGATTATTTTCTCATGAAAAATTCTAACTATATTATTGTTCATTTGTCCCATTTCCCCTCTCTTTATTTCAGATATGGGGTGGGCATAAATTTGACTAAATATCCTTTTGTTTTTCTTTTAGGAACATGGAAAACATAGATCCTGAGAAAACCCCCCGTTTTGTTTTTGAAACTATCAAGCTTTTAAACTTCTGTTTGGAGCAGGTGTGGTAATTTTAACTCAACATTTAATCATCACTGACTTTTTATGTTTAGTGTGAATGTGTGAATATTAGAATTTTCAACACAAAGGGAGCATGAACGCACATGTAGATTGTGACATCCTCACACTGAAATAGTTAATCTAGTTTGGACTAAAAGAGGAATGTGTGCATTTTGACATTTTATTTGTTGAATGTTGAGAGAACATTAAAGTGTCTGATCTGAAGGTGAAACTTTGACTTTTTTTTCAGTTGAAGAAAGGTGTGGAGAAGCAGTGGTCTCTGCAGCAGGTAGTGCAGTACGGACTGGTCCTGTGTGAGACTCTGTTTGATCCTTATCAGACATGGAGGAGACGACTGGCAGGGTGGGTGTGGAGGTGGAGTTCAGCTCCAAAAGACCAAATGATTATTAAATGAATAAAATGTCTTGCCCCACCTTCTCCTAATCTTACTGCTCCTCTGCCTCGAAGATAAACCATAATCTATATTATTGGAAAGTCAAATTGACTGGGCATGATGGGAGGGAGTTGACTCAAGGTTATGTGTTTTACAGGGAGGAGGTAAGCTTGGCTGAGAGAAATAAGTACAAGTTTTCCCCGTCGGCTTTGCCAGAAGAGCTGCCTGCTCTATTTCATGGTGAGACACCACCTTTCAGCTGCTCTGACTGTTATCAGACTACACATCCCAATGATAAAGATATTCCTGCTGCTGCTGCCAAAACACTTTCCTTTACATCTGAGAAACATGTTTCCTGTGAATGTGCCTGCTGAGTCCATTTCACTTCTAGTGAAAAGCTCAGATGTCCTCCATCTAATTATTACATGCCTGTAATTAAAGAACTAGTCTGTAATATTACAGTTAAAGGCCCACTAGTTGTCACACACTGTGTGTCAAATTGGTTCTCTGTATTTGACCCATCCCCTGGAGGAGCGTTGAGCTGCAGACAGAACTGCGCTCGGGAACCATTTGAGGGTTTAATCCTCCAATCTAACCCCTTAATGCTGAGTGTCAAGTAAGTAGGGATTGGGTCCCATTTTTTTTCAAAGTTTTTGATCCAATTGGGATTTGAACCCCGGTCTCTCAGTCCCAAGGCAGACACACTTTTTTTAAACAAGTATGTCCAGATTTTAAGAGGATTATTGTCTTAACAGCTAGCTTTGGTTGGAAACATTAAGGGTAATTTATGTAACCCATAACGAACTACTGAAGCTTTTCTTTTTGCGTGATTAAAAAAGAAAACGTGAATAGGCCTTTCAGAAAATCTTTAGATGTCAATCAGCTTTTTCTCATTATTAAAGGTGCAGTGATCGTTCTTGAAAAATGCCGTTAAAGGAAGCTAAATTATGAAGAAAAATAACAATGCTAAGGTCCAACCCTTTTCATCAGGCTGCCACCTAGAGTCACAGAATCTGATGGTTGCAGAAAATGACTTAACATTGGCTTACCACACACACACACACACACACACACACACACACACACACACACACACACACACACACACACAGAAACATTTATATGTTTGTGTGGACCTCCGTTTACTTTCATTTGTTTTAGTGACTACAATGCCTTAACCCTACCTTAAAAACCAAGTTGTGCTTGGCATTGTGTGGACAAGCGAAATATCCCTACAATTTTAAAATGTCTACACTGTACAGGTTCAAGTTAAAATGTGTCCACTTACCAGACATTACCAGAGTTTCTGGTAACCCATTAATAACCCAGTTTCCCAGCAAGAACAGAACCATATTCTAAACAGAACATGAAAAAACTCCTTAAAGTAACACTAAACAGTTTCCAGCTTATCTGTTCTACTGGCTGAAAGTGTAATAACAACAGTCGTAAAGAACCATGCAGCAGCCTGTTGTAGCTAGTGCTATCAACTAGCTAATACTAACATGAGCCAACTGATATTAAATATGCCACAATGTAAACAGATCCATGCTGTTGTCCAGTGACAACAAAAACCAGATCAACATAAGCCTGGGATTTCATAGCCTGCTTTAGCTTCTTCAATTGAGTGTAGGCCAGGGGTGTGTCCAGACGGGGGCACGAAGGGACACATGTGCCACACCCAAAAATATGTTTAAAATGACAAAAAATAAATATTGTGATTAAAAAATGTAAGGAAAAGAAGAGAGGAATTTTATTGGAAAGAGCGAAATCAGTGGATCCCAGTAAAGGCGGAATAGGTAGAAACAGGATAGAAATAGAAATAAGGAGAGGGTGATGACGAAGGTCACGCAATAGCAGCTTGAACAAGTGAGCTTTTGACTGCTTTTTGAAGGAGACCACTGAGTCCACTGATCTCAGGCTCAGGGGGAGAGAGGTCCAGAGTCTGGGGGCCACAGCAGCAAATTATCTGTCACCTTTGACCTTTAGCCTGGTGCTGCACATCCAGTAGGCTTTGATCACTGGACCTCAGGGACCTGCTGGGGGTGTAGGAACTAAGAAGATCACCAATGTAAGATGGTGCTTGTCCATGTAAGGCCCTATAGACCAGAACCAGGATCTTGAGATGAACCCTGAAGTTGACTGGCAGCCAGTGAAGCTGGAGGAGAAGCGGGGTGATGTGGGTGTGTTTGGAGGACTTGGTCAGAAGCCGAGCACAGGCGTTCTGAACCACCTGTAGACGGTTCAAGGAGGTTCTGCTCAGACACGTGAAAAGAGAGTTACAGTAGTCTAAGCGTGAGGAGATGAAGGTGTGGAGAACTGTCTCAAGTTCAGAGCGGGACAGAATGGGACTCAGCTTAGCAACGTTCCTGAGATGGAAGAAGGAAGAGCCAACAAGAGAACTGACATGAGAATCCAGGGTGGGAGCTGGGTCAAAGGTCACGCCAAGATCCAAATTATTTTGAAAATGGACAGTCTGAAATTAGTGAAACCAGTAAAATAGTAAATTAATTTAACAATTTCTTTACTAATGTGGGACCTGACTTGGCAAAAAACATTTCAAAAAGAACTAATTATAGTATAGGCGAGAATATCAAAAGCAATAAAAACAGTATATATTTAAGTCCAGTAACTAGTGATGAAATAAGAAATATTATCAATAAATGCATCAACAAAAGAAGTACTGACTAGGGCTGCTCGATTATGGCAAAAATAATAATCACGATTATGGTGACTGAAATTGAGATCACGATTATTTAGGACGATTTTTCAATTTATGTTGATTTTATTTGTTTTTATTCAGTCATAAAACTGCTCAGGGCACAATCAGGACAAAAATAAGAAACAAGATGATCACTAAAAGAACTCCTGATTCCCAGGATAAAAGGACCAATATACTTATAGCTCATAGTCTATGACCCAAGGGCTATAGACCTTGGTTTAACTCATGTAAGTCTAACCAGTACAGACCCAAATACCAATATCTTGCAAATACTGACAGCAAGAATGATAGAGTGGCATTTATAACAAATAAATGCAAATAAACTGATGTTCACAAAATGTTACATAACATTTATTGAGTCGTGTCAAGGTGCTGTAGCACTGTGTCCTCAGAGAGATTAGTTATCAGCGTGAGGAACTTATTTCTACCTTATTTATAAACTATTTATTTACAGGCCCATCAGTTAATGTAATAATTGTCCCGACCACAGCTGCACCCCCCACCCCGGTCTCACACAATCGGGCAAGCTGCACGTGTGTTTAGCACGCCGCACGCGCACATTTAGCTGTTTTTAGCTGCTCAGGAGACCGCAGGTGCGGTGTGTGTGTCACTCACTCTGGTTAATCCAACAAGGAGCCGGCTCCGAGAGCTGTCTTTAGCGACCGACACATCACTGCATCATTCCCTTTCCTAATGTTGTGAAGAACGGTCCGGAGCACAGGCGGAGTGTTTAGCTAACCTGCAGGAAATGTCGACGACAGTTATCCAGAAAGTAGCTAAGGGTTACCAGAGATGTTTCTGAGATGTTCGCTAGGTACTTTTAGGATTAAAAAGTCAAGAAGGGGGTCTGAAAAGCTGCTAGAAATAGCGTCAAAGTCGCTAAATTGGCAACACTGTGAGGAGCGCTTCATTTGCAACTTAGGGCAGCGCAAGCGGGAGGAGCAAATAATCGGCTTGTTATGTTTTTTATAATCGTTCAAAACTCAGATCGTAATCGTGATTAAAATTTGATTAATTGAGCAGCCCTAGTACTGACTGCGATGGTTTAGACATAACATTAATAAAAAATATAATAGAAAGTATTATTCATCCATTGACTTACATATGTAATTTATCTTTTGCAACAGGGACATTTCCTAACAGGATGAAAATTGCAAAAGTCATACCACTTCATAAAAGTGGAGACAAACATATATTTTCCAACTATAAACCAATATCTTTATTGTCACTATTCTCAAAAATATTAGAAAAATTATATATTGCTCAGCTGGACCGATTCCTGGAAAAAGAAGAGAAATTAAATGACAGACAGTATGGTTTTAGAACAAATCATTCAACATCCATGGCAATAAAGGAATTAACAGAAGAAATATCGGAAGCCCTTGACAAAAAAAGTAATCTCATAAGTATCTTTATTGATTTAAAAAAAGCATTCGATACAGTGGATCATAAAATTCTTATTAAAAAACTTTGTAAATATGGCATCACAGGGATGGCCCTAAAATGGATAACTAGTTATCTTACCGATAGGCAGCAGTATGTTCAAATAAACAACACAAAATCACATATAAATAACATTACTTGTGGTGTACCACAAGGGTCGGTATTGGGCCATAAACTATTTATCATTTATATAAATGACATTGTTGAGGTATCCAATATATTAAAATGTACCTTATTTGCAGATGATACAACTTTTTACTATTCAGGAGATAATGTTGAGCAGATGATAGAAGTGATACAAACAGAGATGAAAAAAATTAAACTATGGTTTGATGGGAACAAACTATCATTAAACAGTGATAAATCCTGTTTTATGATATTTAGTAATACAAATTCAAATGATGAAATTTTATTAAATATAGATGAGATTAATATTAAAAGAGTTAAAGAAGTCAAGTATCTGGGAGTCATCATTGATGAAAAAATGTCTTGGAAACTGCATATAAACAGTGTCAAAACTAAAATATCTAAAACTATTGCACTGTTACATAGAGCAAAAGGGTTGCTTGATAATAATTCATTATATTTATTATATAACTCACTGATCATACCATACCTGAACTACTGCATTGAAATCTGGGGAACAACATATAAAACTTACACAAATTCCATATACATCTTACAGAAAAAAGCAATAAGAATAATCATAAGGAGCAACTACAGAGGTCCGTCCAATCCATTATTTATTAAAATAAAAACACTAAAATTCTATGATCTGGTGGACTACAATATTTTAAAATTCATCTATAATGCAAACAAAAGGAACGTACCTGCAGGATTAATTAAACGATTTTCAAGAAGACATAGCAAATATGATTTAAAGGGACATGAATTATTTAACATACCTAGACATCGGATACTCGTAGAGGAACATTGTGTCTCCATATATGGAGTTAAATTGTGGAATAAATTGAATACTGAACTCAAGAACGCAAAAACAATATTAACTTTCAAAAAAGAGATAAAAAATAAAACGATTACCTTATATAGATCCGTTACATAAATGTGTGAGGGGAGG